GATATGATAGTTTACATAAATGACGTGAAGAATTCTACCAGGGAACTCCTGATAAACACCTTCAGCAAAGTGTCACAATACAAGATTAACTCAAAAAAAAAATCAGTTGCCCTACTATATAAAGTCAACAAATGTTAACTAAAAAAAATCAGTACACTTATTATGTATACATGATAAATGGGCTGAAAAAGAAATCAGAGAAACATCCCCCTTTACAGTAGCCACAAACCTACATGACAAGAACTTTGAGTTATTAAAGAAAGAAATTAAAGAAGATACCAGAAAATGGAAAGATCTCCCATGCTCTTGGATAGGTAGGATCAACATAGTAAAAATGGCAATCTTATCAAAAGCAATCTACAGATTCAATGCAATCCCCATCAAAATACCACAAAATACAATTCTTCACAGACCTTGAAAGGACAATACTCAACTTTATATGGAAAAACAAAAGACCCAGGATAGCCAAAACAACCCTGTACAACAACAACAACAACAAAAACAAAATAATTCAATTAAAAAGTGGGGTACAGAACTAAATAGATAATTCTCAATAGAGGAGTCTGATAGACACTTAAGAAATTGCTCACCATCCCTGACTTCAAGACTATAGAGCTATAATGAAAACAGCTTGGTATTGGCACAAAATATTGGCACAAAATTGACAGGTAGATCAAGGGAATTGAATTGAAGACCCTGATACTAACCCACACACCTATGAACACCTGAAATATTTTGAATTCTATGAAAAAGGATAGTAAAGAAATAAAAGAAATTTCTTAAAGGGCTTTGGGTCTTATATTGTGACCAGGTGGAAATCAATCAGCAGCTTTGTCTACCTAGAATTCAAACGGGAATTATACCTTGTGATAATTCAAAATAGACACTTAAAAAGTCATTATCTGGATGGGGAGACAACTCAACATTTAAGAGAGCTGGCTTTGATTCCAGAGCTCTGGGCTTAGCTCCCAGCACACACACTCAGCCACTTGTAACTCCAGTTCCTGTAGATTAACACCTCTCTGATCTCTGTGGGTGTCACATACAGGAAGAATACACACATGCACATACACATAAAATAAAAATAAGGTTTTCTTAAGAATCACTTGTCCACAGGAAAACCAGCTCTTCTTAGTCATACCTTTTTCTTTTCCATTTACTTAAAAATTTGCCAAGATTGATCATTTAAAGGCAAAATCTACCCTCAAATATAATTGGCAGTTATGTCCCAGTTGTGAGTGCAGGACATGAATATATTCTAATAGGAAAAAGCATAATAAATATGGAAGCCAAGGTAAGCTCACATGTTGGTGCCATGTTAGGCTGTGTTACAGAGTCTGGTTTTTATTTATTTTATTATGAAGCCATTACATGCCTTTAGGCAAGGACCTGTTAACTAGCAGAAAATCAATTTAAATTTACTTAAACCTCAAAAGATTCTGAGGCAATTGAGAGGAAAGGCCAGTATGCCTGCATGCCTGTATCCAGTCACAGGCTCTGAAGGTGTCAGTGCTACAGAATGCTAAGAACAGTGTGTATCATGAGTAAGCTTCATTAAGAAACAGGGAGTATAAAATACACCGGATTTAGCATGGTTCTTTAAACACCTGATATGCTGTGGCAGCTGTGCGTCATCTGAAAATACATTTTTTAGAATGGCAGAAAGTTTCATTTTGGACTGGAGAGATGGCTCAGCAGTTTAGAACACAGGCTATTCTTCCAGAGTACCAGGGTTTGTTTCCCAGCAGCTCACAGCTATCTGTAACTCCAGCCCCATGGAATCTGATGCCCTCTTTTGACCTTTGTGGGCATTGCATGCATGTGGCACACAGACATACACATAGGTGAAACAAAACACCCATGAATACAAAATAAAATGTTAAAAGAAAAATAAATCTTCCAACTAATATGCATCAAAACAATTGTTAAGGATTTTTTTATTTTATTTTATATGTATAAGTATTTTGTCTGCTAGAATGACTGTGAACCTCACGCATTCCTGGAGCCCAGAAGAGGGTGTTAGATCCCCTGGGACTTGAGTTAGAGACAATTGTGAGACGCCCAAAATGTGGGTGCTCAGAATTGAACCTTTGGAAGAGCAGCCTGTGCTCTTAACCACAAAGCCATCTCTCCAATCTCCACCCAAAAGCCAATTTTTAAAAATAATTAAAATTTATAAACAAAAATCTTCAGCTCATCAAAAAACTTGTTACTTAAAGCAATTCCATTTCTGGAAGTTTTAAGTCACTTTTAAAGTAGAAGGCACATTAAAACCTACTGTAAGGTTGGAAAGTCAATTAGGATTCACAAACCACAGCTGTCACTCGCTGGCATCTGTACAGGGTGTCCATGAGCACAAGCAGTTCTCAGAGAGATTTCTTTAAATGCATGCATGAACAGCATCCAGGAAGGGTTGTTTTGTTTGTTTGTTTGGTTCGTTGGTTGTTTGGTTTGGTTTGGTTTTTCGAGACAGGGTTTCTCTGTGTAGCTTTAGAGCCTATCCTGGCACTCGCTCTGGAGACCAGGCTGGCCTCGAACTCACAGAGATCTGCCTGCCTCTGCCTTCTGAGTGCTGGGATTAAAGGCGTTCACCATCAACGCCCAGCTGAAGGGTTGGTTTTTAATTGTGGGAAAGGTGAAGGTTTCAGGTCTGGCTGTCATGACTTGTCTTCATTTCACGTACACATTTCATTTGGTAATGACCTACTAATTCAAGAGATGTGAATATTTTGTTCCACAAAAATCTTCCACTCAGCATTATACTCTTCATTATAAAGAATACCCATTAAAAACAACAAAACTCAATTTCACAAAGAGCTTGCTGTGGTGGGACAACTTACAAACCCAGATACTTGGAGTCAGGGGCAAAACCTCTATTTGAAAATAGCAAACAGACACACACACACACACACACATGGACCCCACACACACACACACACACACACACACACACACACACACACACACACACACACACCAGCTACCATCCCTTTCCCCACCTCCCCAACTCCTATGATTCACAACAGAAATACCCCCTACAGGTCACTTGTCCAAAGCTGGTGGTACTGTCTCAGGAGGGGGAGCCTGGGTGATGGAATTGGGTCACTGGAGTCAGATCGTTGAAGGTTCTACTATGGGCCGGGTTACAGCCCACTCTCTTCCTGCTGCCTGGTCTATTAGCACATAGACAGTCTCTGTCACCCACTCCCACCACTATGATTTCTCTGACAGACTGGACTGAAACACTCAGAACCATGAAGCACAAGAAGCCCTCCTTCCTTAAGCTATTACTGCTGGGTATTTTGGTCATAGAGACACAAAAGAAGCAAATTTTCACTCACTCCAGATTTCTAATCTCCCATCTATTACAGCTTCTTGTGTAGCCTTCTGGCAGGTTTCAATGTGCACAAAGGAACAGGTGCATTTCTTCTATCACAAGTGAGATCATACACTGTTTTACCAATTCTTCCCACTCATACTCTGGACTTATTAGGAGAGACTAGTGCCCCGCCCTTTGTTGTGCACTAGAACTTGAACCCAGGAACCTGCTAGGCAACTACTTTTCCATGAAGCTACACCCCAGCCTCATGTCATTCTTTTTAAGCTACAGTGATAATGGCTTATTTCATTAACCTCTTCAATATGCATCATTACTGTTTTCAATTAGTTTTCTGATTTTGAACATCCTACAACTAATATTGTTGAATTTTGCTCTTTGTGAACACATTTGTGTAGGGGGCACAGAGGTTGTTCCTTCAAGAGAAGGAAGGAAAAATCAGTTTTCTGCCCAGAAGGTTGGAGCAGAGGTGCCTTCTAGCCTTCTAGATTGTGACTTTGCACAATCTGTGTGCCTGGAGAATTTCCAGCACCTGACCGTCCTCCAGACCATTCTAAGAAACTTGTTTTTCCTATCAATCTACAGAACATATCTTTATGGGCTGTGTCACATGTACTTTACCAAGAGTTTTGATGTAGTCACATTTGATTTATATTTAGCTTACTTTGTTCCTCAGAGATTTATGTATGCCTTGTTGGGCATCCAGGATCAAGTCACTACAAGAACAATTTTCACCAGGTTGGGCCTTGCTTAAATATGCCAAAATAAAATCTCAAGGTCAGACTTCTGAAGTTTGAACCAACATGGGCTACTGGGCCTTCTTGCCTCCCACAGGGAAGGTCAAAGAGATCCCTTTTGGGAGAAAAAGAATGTTGGAAATGTAACTATTGAATCCAAATATCCACTGCCTCCAGTGGCAAAGCTGTAGACTCATCTCATCTTTGTTATTAACAATGGACATCAGGGAATTCTTTAAAGGGAGATACTTTATCTTTTAACTTGCAGTATTTGTAAATAAAGGAGTCAAGTATATCCCCACGAACTCAATGGTTACTACAAGTATTTTCTGTATAACTTGATTATTTATAGTCTTTATCCTATATTCTATGAGGTATTTGAAAGAACATTTAATAGTTTATGCAATAGGTTTTAAGAAGGAAATAATATGCTTCTTTATAATATTGATAAAATATTAGTTTAGTTGATTATCAGAATCTAAGACAACCCCCCAATAAAGCTATAATTCCTAGAAATATTTCATTTCATGTTCTTCAATCCATGTCTTTCTAACTCACCTTTAGACTGAAGATACTTAGGTTAATATGCTAGGGAAGCTCCTATAGTAGAGTCGCCATAATAGCTTTTCTATAGAAAATGAAATATCTATAAGTAAGTTATAAGCAGCAACTGACTATGAAGAAACCCTGATCTCCTCATCTTTAGCTGACACTTGAGCACCAGTCACGTCATCCAAGTTTTTTTTTTACTTTAGAGCTAGATTAAGACATTTCTAAGAACAAGAACAGTGAACCGTCAAATCTGTCTAGAAAAATACACAACATCTGTCTTTCACTGACACATGAGACGCTCCCTTTCCATTTAACAGTCAGTTTCACATAACCCTGAGTAGTCATCAGTCACGGGCTGGCAGGAAAGAGCTTGCCTGGTCAATGTAGAAGGCCGTGCCAGCTCGGATCTCCCGGCGCTGTTTGAGGTCGGTTTCGGTGGTGTCTCTTGACAGGGCAATGTATTCCACCTCTCGCTTGGTCAGCTCCTGTAGAGCAACACAGAGCAAAATTATTCCAGAGCTAAAGTCAAACTGCCAGCCTACAATTTACAACAACATATTCAACAAAGACACTGCCTAGAGATGAGCATTATAACCATAATTATGAATTAAAAATATTTTCAGTCTCTGAAAAAAATTCAATAAATTGGATACTAAAACATACAAATGCCAAGTATGGTGGAGCTTGTCTTTAGTCCCAGCACTTGAGAGGCAGAGGCAGATGGATCTCTGTGAATTCAAGGCCAGCTTGGTCTACATTGCAAGTTCCAGGACAACAAGGGCTACATAGGAGACACTTTCTCAAAACATTCCCTCAAAACAAAAACAAAACACATATACACATGCACAAGCACACACACACACACATACACACACCTATGCAAACTTACACACCCATACATACATACATACATTCACACACATGCACATATATATATACACATACAAACACACATATGCTCACACATGCACACATACATATGCACACGTACATAAATACATCTGTGCACACAAACATTGCTTGCACACAAACAAACACATTGTGCTCACACACATGCACATGCATCCTTAGAGCTTCATTATTTTTATTGTACTCCATCCTACTACTTGAGTAATAAGAATAATTGAATCTTATAAACCTAAATTTATCCTGTTAAATTCTTTTTCAAATATCATGAATAATTATTGGGCAATTTTCCTAAAAGTCATAACAAATTTCTGTAAGTAATATTTATCTTTTTTAAATGTGGTTTCAATTCATTTACTCCATTGACCATGGCTCAGCAACTGAATACAATATCATTGTTAGATTCTTTACCAAGTGTGAAACAAGCAAGAGAAACCAAAAGCAGAAGGAGATGAAAGAGAGCAAGAGGAAGCCATACAAAAGGGAGAAGACAAAACTATCCAGCCCCCAGAACATGGTGTGATCAAGGGGGAAGGGAGGGTACCCAGAAGCTGCACCATCTCAGCAGCTCACCTACTCAGAAAATCATTAGCACTAACCTAACAGCTAGGCACATTTCCCTTGCTTTTACAACAATGAATTAAGAACAGTGACATTTTGGAATCAAATAAGGGTATAATAAACTTTTACAAGTCACAGAAGTTAAGTTACTTAAAGATAAAGGGAAAAGCTGACAGATCATGTCATTACTGGAGAAGATTTTCACACAAGGGGATTATGTTGCCTTGCAACTTATCCCTATTTTACATTAATGCACAATTCTTTATTGTTATTCAGTTCTTTTACATTTCTTTGTTCCAGACTGACACAGTTTCCAGTATAACAAAAAGAGGCAAAAGTTTTAAATAGAGAAGATGCATAGTCACAAAGATGTAACAACATCAAATGATGTTTTCCTAAATATAAATGGATTGTCTGTCTACAAGGGCCAATTCTAGAGTAAAGTAATTTTCTCCTTTTAGCAGACACCTGCTTCCAGAGAACATCACTCATAACATCATGTCTGCTTCTTTGAGTGGCTGAATCTAACTCCCCTCCCTAAAAACCCTTTCCATTCACAATAATTGGCAAAACTGGATGTGGTTTTTCAAAACAGGGTTGGGGTGTGTGTGTGTGTGTGTGTGTGTGTGTGTGTGTGTGTGTGTAGACCTTGTCCTTAAACTCGCTCTGTAAACCAGGCTGGCCTTGAACTTAGAGCTGGGCCTGTCTTTACCTTCTGAATGCTTGGATAAAAGGTGTGCACCACCATGCCCAGCATCTTGTTACCAAAGAGCAGCACAGTTTAACTCTGAACTGCACACTGAGGACAATGCTGTCACTATCCTGTCCTGACAGTCACCTTCATCAGCAAAGCACCCGTTTTCTCAGCACCCCATCATGAAAACAGGAGGGAGTAAGCTCTCACACAGCACCAGCAGAAGGCAGCTGTGTTGTTTGAAACCATCTACAATCTTCCTTAATATGAATTAAGTATCACAGACAAATCGATTTTTATTTGCTTCAGCAAGCTTGCACCCCAAATGTTACCAACTCAGGACATTACCAGATGAAGGTTCTCATATCCAGTGACAACAGCATTCACAGCTATTTGCAGGGCGGCAGGGTGGCGCTGCATCTCCACACATGCATGTAAACAGCAGGGCATTGCTGAGTTTTCATATACCTTTGGCTATTTCACATCTATTTTACCATTTGATGTTTAGTGGGAGCAGTCATGTAACTTCACACATGCAGACTTACACTGCATTTTTGAACCAAATCCCTATGATATCCAAGTCCTTCATTCTGCAATTCTAACAACTTCAGAGCCTGGCCCAAAAACCATAATCTCAATGAGATATCACAGACTTTGAAATGAGTAGGGCAAAAGTCCCCCATTCCTAGACAAGACCCTAAGGCCAATGCTACAGTGGTAGGTTACACCTCACAAACTGATTCTGGGCATGGAGAAAAGATATAAAAGTTATGGGCTAGTGGGAGTTCTGTTTCTGATTTGTCCAATTTACTCTGGCATTCCTGCCTGCCTCACATACATTTTGAAGTTCTAAAGTAAATTTGGGGCTGGAGAGAGAACTGAGCAGTTAAGAGCACTCTCTACTCTTACAGAGGACGAGAGTTTCACAACCTCCTGTAACTGCAGCTCCAGGAGATCTGAGGCAGCCTCGGGCCTCAGGAAACATCCGCATACATGTGCCCACATATGCACTCATTCATACAAAATTGTTTTTAAAAATAAAAGACAAACTAAATGTGCCACTGAGATAAAGTATATAAACAGATTTCAACAACATAGAAATCAACTCTTCAATAATAAATAACACAAAGAAGTTTTAACAAGGGTTTTTTTTTTCCTCCTACAAAGTTATCTTCAGAACACAACTTCATCTGAAAATTCATTCTTACCTAAATCAGTAGAATAATGTCTATTAATAATGACAGGATAACAGAAAGGCCTTTAAATGCTCTGGAATATTGGCATCAAGATCTGAAGATTTCAATTCACTTAACCGTTCTCAAAGAGCTAGTATTATTTAAGAGTGCACTGTGTCAAAGAGGCGAAATGGGGGTTTCAAGTCTAACTTTATCATTTTCTAGATAGAAAGAGTGCATTAGCCAATCTTTGTTCATTTGTTTTTCTCATCTATTAAATAGGAGAAAAAGCAGTATGTAGCTATGACATTAAAAATGCCCTCTACCTTGGGCTCCCTTTACAAACCACACAACTTCAAAATGTCAAAGGAATTGCTTTGCTTTTTAAGTTGTGAGCCTGAGATAAGGAAAAAATTATAACATAAAAGGGCTTGAGGAAGGGTGTAGTAGTGTCAGGTTTACAGTCTCAAAGTTGCTGCTTCTATCTGCTCACTACTCACTGCCTGGATTTATATTTCTTTTTACTGAAAGTGGAAGGTTT